GAGAGAAGTGGAAATAAATGACTGATTAGTGATGAGTTATTAATGCACAAAAATTATTAATGCAGATGGGCTTGGCAAAGTGAATTTCCCTGTAGTTACCATTACAAGTTATTACAAAGTCTGCCTTCAGTTAAGCCGAGTGTTTAATGAAAACTGGTGGTTCACACTGTAGTTACCTGCATTAATGACTGCATTAACGTTCAGATTAGAAATATTTGTTCCAGGTTTTGCTTCCAGGATACATCCAGGATAAATTTTTAAACTTACTTTACACAATTAATGTTTCATCCTTTTATTTTTTTAATTATGGCAACATTTCCCAGACAAGTTTAAACAAATGATAGAATGATGATATTTCACGTACTAAACAGTGGATTGAAACAATGAAATCAGTGTGGTCTACCATACTACACAATGTGAACCCTAATAAGGACTTTGTAAACGCCAGTTCTGGTAAGTGCGATATAAAGAATTTGCATAAAATGACATGCAACAAAGATTATACCATACAGTAAAGACGTTATTGTGTGACATGCAGTAAACTGGATCAGAAGGATTTTAACAAGTCTTGTGCGTTTCTATTTGCCCGTGATAAAACGAAGTTTATTGACACCATAAGGGACAAGTAAGGCATCTGAATTTGGTTCAGTCAAATCTTTAAACAAGTTATTATACAGCTTACTTTATGGGAGCGGTCTTAAAATGAAACCACTATACCATATCTATTGTAGTTGTGTTTGCTCAGTTATTTTAGTTCTGTTTCCTTGTTGCAGAGTAGCATAATTTAAAGACAGTCATGGGTTTCTGAGAGAATCTGTAGGATTTACTTCCCTAATGGAACTTTTTATATATTTCAAAACCTAGAAAAGTGTTTGAACTGTTTGAAAGGATAGGAGATAAACTGCAACTTAATGGCATGAATAATGGTGATAAATGTGTTAGAGTCATTAACTAGACTTAAACCTACTTGCTATCATGAGAGTCACAGAGGCAGGTCCCAGGATAGAAGATCCAACAGTGAACATCTGGTAGAAGACGTAAATCCTTGAGATGGACATGTTTCTCTTCACTGTCTCTGGACCACTAAGATTCACAAACACAAAAGAGTTAGTATGGCAGTAGAAGTGTTTATAGGATTTATAGCCTACAAACATGACCAGAAAACCATCAAACTAAGAATCCAAATAAAGATGAAAATTGTTCTTTTTTTTAAAATGTTTTAAGTAAAAAGCAGGATGGCTATAGAATGAAACCCTGCTATTATTAATAACATGTAACACTAGCCTGTGGAGAAGGTCCAGTGTATTAGCCAATGTTGAAGGTCCCCATCGTCTCCTCTGGTTGTAAAACTCTTCAAATTCCTGTGGTGAGTTGGTGTATGCATCTGAAGCAGCATTATACTCGACTCGCCAGCCTTGTTGCAGTAGCAAAGTACACAGCCATCGATCCTCCCCTAGAAGAGCACACACGAGACACCAAGAGTTTAAATGTCAAACCACTAAGAGCACAAACTAGGCTAGGTAAAAAAGTCTACTGATCCTTTTGGTTGCGTTTACCAACCTTGATCATACTGCACATATTCCTGAGCTCTTTGTGCAGTTGTTGAGTATCTTTTTAAAACATGGTCATCCATCAAGGCCGACCCTCTGAACAGACTGAAGCATCCCGGACTGCACAGCACAGAACCAAACACATGCTCTGCTGTCTTCTGGAGCCAGTGACCTACTGCATACTCAAATTTCTGGTACCACACCATGGGACCTGGGATGGCAGAGAGGCAGATGAGAGGAGATATGAAGCAAAGGAAGTTGAAGAATAATAGGCATTTGGAAAAAAGTACATGCAGTACGTTGTTTCTAAGTTAGTCCATCATATATACAGAGCTTAAAAGAACACTGCAGAAGCAAAAATCCCACTAAATGCTGATGTAGGGAATGTCAAGAACTAGAGTGGACCTATGAAATATACACAATTTCCAGTTTATCAAAAGGCTTTCTTTAAATGTTTATTTTTTAAATTAAATACATTTAGTGATACATCAGTGGCAATACATATGCATGTACAAACAGACATTTTTGATGCTTTTTCTTTTGAAATGCCCACTCACCCATGCCAGTAGGATGGATTCTACCACATGCTGCACCTACATTGTCATACATCCTCAACCTGTGAACACAAATATGTTTTATAAATTGACATGTTTGACAAGCAACAATAACTAAAATCGACACTTTCTAACTGGATGACCAAATAGCTGATAAAATGAGTATTTGTTGTATTTGTATTTGTTGTCTACAATAGCATCGGTGATTTATGGAGGAAAACGATCTAAATACTGAGCCATGAAAGATTTTAAGAAGTTGACTGGTCTGCTGCTCACCTGTCTACAAGCAGAATCACAGCTTTAGGGTGGAAGTCAGTGTCTCCGTCAAGAGCAAGAATATACGTGTTGTCGTCTGAGATGAACTTGCGTTTGTTGTCGTTGTCATACTGAGGCAACACGAAAGTCTCACTATCCAGAGAGACCAAACTGGCTCTGGAAAAGTTATTAAATTGCTAAAAAAAAAAAAAGATAGGTCATTGAAAAATTATAAGAAATTATACACAATGCCAAAATAAATTGACTCAAACAGCTGAAAAGTCTTACTAGGATCTTTGAAGGGTTCTTCACAATGTAGCCTTTCCAGCCAAGCAGGTAATACATGTACATTATCTAAGAAAAAAAGAAAAAAGCAGCAGCATTGAATGTTAAAATCCAAGAACAGCCTTTTGGAGACTCACTGTTTAATAGTCTAGATGACTTGACAGAGGTGATTTGTCAAATTAATTAAACTTTTATCATACAGGTAGAACATACAGAATGATTATACCTGCAATACTAGTAAGCATGTTTTAAATTTTAACTAAGCATTTTCATACATTTACAATTAGAGTTGAAAACATTTAATTAACAGCACTTCCAGTATCTCAGTATATTTACTACAGTCCAAATCATTATTAATAATTGCATGCAGCACAATAGAGCAACACAGTTTCTTATTTTGAAATACTGAACAGCACTGAAATGATTTCAGCCATTTATTTTCATGCCTAAGATATATAAAAATATCTAGTTTTGGAGTTGTTGCTTTTCTATCCCATATTCAATAGTAAATAGTTTTTTGAATAAAACATCTATTTTTGACACATTTGAGTAATAATAATGAGTGTTGAAGAACCCGTCCCACTGTGTGAGGTTATAGAATAGTAGATCCAGAACATACACATGATGGGTCCATTCAAGCTCATACAATTCCAATACATGAAAAAAGAAAACAAGTCTGCATGTTTGACTGAGAGAACTTGGTTTTTAGTGTATTTCACAATCACATACACATGAATAGGGATATAGAGATAGAAACTTTCACAGCTAATCTGTACCTGGGACCATCTTTTTTTGTTCCTGATGAGTAGTTTGTCTTTTAGGTGAACATAGAGCATGTTCCCTTCTGGCAGAACAAACATCAACCTGCCGCCGTAGGGAGTCTCAATGATCGACACATCGTCAGGCTCTTTGTTGGTGAAGACCCTGAACGGAAGGATGTGTAGGTGATCGGTTTGAAAGATGGAGAAAGAGAGACATGCAGATGTATACACATATATTTAACTGTGGGGTTATCTCACCTGTAAACTTCAATGACAACTTGGATCAAGTCATTAACATAACTATTAACCAGCCTCTTATTTGTGTCATCGTCAGTCATGAAGGCATCGTCCATTAAAATGTGACACTCAAAGTCAAAACAGTCCTTGTGATCTTCCTTTGGATCCCCTCGATAACGGTCCAGCCTGAAACATAACAGATGACTGTATAACACAGCAAAAGCCTTTTCATTTAGGTCTTATTTTTTAAGTATGAACAGTCAGTGCACAGCAGGAAATAACAAGAATGACAGGAAAATGCATTTTTTAAATGTTAAGCAGCCCAAACACTTGGCATTTTAGACCTTTGAATATATTAGGTCATAAGCTAATGAATTTGACCTTTTATTTACATTTTTAAGAACCACTTTACATCAGACTGAGAGGCTCTAAATGCCTCTCTGGTTAAAAATTTCACCTGTGTACTGACACCTGCCTGGTGCGAAATTAAACAGGTGGAGGTAAATCAAAGCCATATTTTAATATGCTGTTATATTGCTCTTTAAAGATATGTAAAAGAGAAATTTAACCCACGCTGTGTATGTGATACTAGTACACCTGGGGCTAGATGCTTTAAACTCAAACTCGTTATTTTCATCAGAATTATAAAGCCGTGCTTAAGCATGCTTGTTGTTAAATCTCAGTCACTGTGGATTTGTATGCAGCCTGATTTACTTTATGTCTGTATGTGCAGATAAAAAATGATATAATGATAAGAAATGTGATAAGAAATTCTCATCATAGTGACTGGGGTATGCACATGCATGTTTTTGTGCCTACACTTATTTATTTGTCTGGCCCCTGATGTCTTCAGAGGTACTGGCTCTAACCTGAACATGGAGGTGAGAATCTTCAGCATCTCGTCGTAGGTCTCATGCCACATGGTGGCGCACAGATAGATGACACACTTCTGCATTTCATCATGGCTGTTAAGGAGACGAGAAGTTGTAGCAGAATTTTTAAACATTTCATGCTGTGAACACGCACATCTTAGAAGCATCTGCTATGGAGGCTCATTAATGTTACACACCCATTGTGGAAACGGCTTCATAAAATGTGCCACATGTGCAGCTGCAGTGAATTTGGGGATGCAAATAAGCGAGTTTCCAATTTTGTTGAGGTCGTAGATGAACATCAATTGTTTTTGGGTCATGTCTGTGTGTATGTCTTTACACTGAGACGTGTTCTGCTAGCGACACACAGTTTGCATGAATTCAACTTCAAATGCATTTTTTTCTACCTATACTTTAAATAAATTATTCACTGCATAATTCTGTTGAAGATATGTCTGTGCCTCTACTGCATTTGAAAAGTTATCCTCCATTATGATTGATTTTTTTTAGGTTAATTTATGACCACACTGAAATAATGTTCAACAGGGAAGCTATTCTCAGATCACACTGACCTTTCTTGGGTTTTGGCTTTAGGAACCTTCATCTTGGTGTTGAGCAGCAGAGACAGGTCAATGAAAGCAGATTCATACAATCGACGAACAAAGAGCTGAGATGTTCTTTCTATACGCTGGACCTAATGGAAGGTGAACCACAAAGCTATTTAAATGTATGTCATTTTTAAAAAAAATCAGATCTCAAAAACAATATGCTTTAATATGTTGTGGTGTGGCTTGTCTGGGAGTTAAAATAAAACTTCCAAATAAAGAAATGACTGAATTCATTTAAAGCATGCATCTTCTCACAGCCAACTGAGTGAAAGTGTGTGCATAATGTGCTGTGTTTTTCCTGATACCTTGATCTTCCATACGTAGTAGGTACATGTGACGAGGCCTGACCACATGCACACTCCCTCCAGTGCCAGCATGGCAAAAGGCCATTGAAAGTAGTGGCTGTCAATCAAATGGTAAATAAATATTTTGAGTGAAGTGTGCAAAGATAAGATGCTTAAATACAGAAGATATCTGTACTTAATATATTGCTATAGGACATGGCAGATGAGGTTGGACAATAAATACTTTCATTTTATTCACATTAAAAAAAATTAGAAATGACCAGGCTGCTTGAAGTGTAATAAGAATTAGTGACTTCTTACCAAACTCACATGGTACGTTTCATTCACACATTTCTCAGCATGCAAACACACCTGTTTAGTGAAGTCCGACACATGCTCCTAGTAAGCTCGAGTAAGACCGCAGACGTGTTTTTGGTGTTCAGATAGAGCAACTTGTCACAAAATTCTGCAATTAAAACAAACATTTTTTTTTTAGCTTTATTACATGTAGTTTAAATAACTAATTTATTTATAATTATAACAATTTATACATATAAATGATAGAGTGCATCAGAGGAGTCATGGTGTATTTTCATGATGAAAATATTGAGCTACTTAATGAGTAGCTTCAGCACTGGGGAGTTTCCAGGAATTTTAACGTTGTTTCTACTTAAACAATTAAAAACTGAATGCAAAACTTATTGCAAGTGAATTTTTTATAAAGGTAGTTCAATTTCTCTTGACCTAAAAAAACTTAGAAAAAAACCTCACCTATGATGCTTTCTGCTTTTGTCCCATTATCCAGTTTCAATCCCAGTGTAAAAAACAGCACTATTCCCAGCAGTAGCATTGCAGGTCCAGTGCAACATAGAGGAAGAGCAAAACTCATCCTGACAGAATGAATCTTACAGGCCACCACTCCAAACCAGTGGCAGGCTGCTGAGCAGAAGGCCTGAGACGGGAGATGAAGGCAATATTTATTAAGCCTAATTTACTGTCATAAGGACAAAATTAAGATTGTAATGTAATTAATTTACATGTTAGACCATCCTACCACCATTAAAATATGTTTCTGAACCAATTCTTTGTGGAAAAGTAAGAAAGAAGTGCAAAAAAGTGCTTTACACTTCAAAACTCAGATCGTAATTGGAACATGTGATCATTATCATGCCTCGGGCAAGTAAGCAGTGGATACAGAGACTCCTGACTGATTAAACCTGCGGCTGCTAAAGAGTCTGTGTGAATGAGATTTGATTGGTTTTAGTAAGTTTTGTCTTATTAAGTAATTAATCTAGACTAAACCTGCTGAGAGCCATAAAAAGAAAATTATCAAATGTAATAATGGGGAAAAAAGTGCTTTTTGCTAAATCACCATCAGACAGTTTTGTCTGCTACATGCAGTGATAAATCAGATTCTACATTTATGGCATCTAGTCTTCCTACAGTAATTTTAAAACATGTTGCATGTTCTCTTCCTTCTACTTACTTGTAAGAAAAACAACACTAGTCCTGTTTGCAGGAGTTCTCCGTCATGCAGGTTAAAATTGTTCCATATGATGGTATTCGCAATTAGCTTGTGGTAGATCAGGTATACGGCCCCTAGAACAGACAAAAATAATTTTACATGCTTGCCACATTTAAAAATGCACCCCTCTTTCACTCAAATCATTTAGTTCACAATGAAACTATTTTTTATGACTGTTCTTTGTTTGTGGTCAAGTAAATATTGTTATGGTATAGAAATACATTGATTAAAAAAATACTGTAAATAATAAGAGTGGTAACGTTTTAAATTCCTGCAGTGATAGAAGAAACAATTTAATCTGCAACGTGTACAGAGATACGGTACAGATAACATAAATCTGTACTGTTCTGTAGATTGGGTCATCGACCAATCGGAAGCTTGCGTTTAACTATCCGTAGGCAAGATACTGAACCCTGACCCCTGATTTGGGTGTAACTGGGTCAGTAGCTTGCGGTGCTTAGTTATTGTAGAAAAAACACTTTATAAAAATCAGCCCATGTATCAGAACATTTGCAATAATAATTTTATAAGTTAAGAAATACATTGGATTTTAAATAAATAAAAATAAAAGAGAACATATTAATGGTGGTTTGTTGTGCAGAATAGAAAACCTAGATTTATTAATACTGAAAACAACAACTGAAGAATTCATCACAGCTGGAGAACATCCTCTGCAATCCATCTGCACCCCTGACATCACAGAAATCTGTTTGTTCTCCAGTGCGAATGTGGGAAATTAGATTTTTCATCACGCGTCCACTGCAGTTATGTTAGATGATGACAACACAATGCAAGAGCGGGTGTAATTTTGCCAGCATGTTTTTTTTTCTCCTCTCCATTCATTGCGTCAATACAGACATTGATGGCAAATAATTACCTATCACTAATATCCTCAGAATGCTGCTGATGACAAACACAAAGTCTCTGAAACCATCCAGTTGTGACAACGTATCCTGTGGGGTAAGAGAGGAAAAAAGATCCTCAGTGATCGTGTAAAAAAAAAAAGTTTCCTTATCATAAACATACAGACTTGGAAGAATGCAAGCTAGCTGAAGCTCCACTATAGAAAAACAGCGTACCTGCATGCGGTTGGTTGCTTGTAGTGAATTTTCCCACCAGCACAACGAGACAAGGAGGGAAGAGAAAATTCCAAGTGCCACGTAGATATAGCAGTCAGAACCCTGTTTGTCCACATATGACGTTACACGGACATAGTAGTCAATTCCCAGCATGCAGTAACCTGTTGGTCAAGTTAGTCAGTTAATAAATGCATATCTAAACTTTCTCTTATATCAGTAGATACAGTATATATGGAATACACTGTATCTACTGTCTATCCAAATGTCCTAAAAAGACACCTATCACTCACATTTTCAGCTCCATAATATTATTCTTGGACTCTGCATTACAAAATAATCCCTATTCATCTCATTCTAAGGTACCTACTCTCTCTTGAAACTACTACTTGAAACTTTGGCAAAGTTTAATATAAGTTTGCCAACATTTATAAATTTTTTATACACCATATTTTTTAAATCAATCATGGAACTTGGAGCTTGCAAGCTTGGTGCTAGATTTGAATCTTAAGCATCAAAACCTGACAGAGTTGTTGTTTTGGCAGTTAAGACATTTTACATCATTTATCTGAGGCAGTTGTTGTAATGAGGGTGACAGAATTACTGTGTCAGAATTGGATAAACAAGACAACAATGGAAAGATAGTTTAAAAGAGCTGACAGACAATTAGTAGCAGATCAGTTCAGTCAAAACCTGAAAACACAAACCTTGATTGAGAAGTGTTCAAACAATTGGGAGAAA